CACATGCTGCGCTCGTGGGATACACGCCGCATCAAGCGGTCGATTACAAGTCGAAGCGGCATGAGAAAACAACGAATTCCGCGCGTTGATGTTGATGCCTTCCGGGCCCGTGGGCCGAATCCAAAAATCCGGGCCCCGCCCCCTCCTGTCTGGGCTCCAATCGGTGTGGGCGCGCGAGAAGTCGACGCGTCTCCAATATGCGTTCGGGGTCTCATGCTGGATCGTGGGCGCGCAACGCCTGGAAGTGCAGGGGGCGGTCGCCGTTCGCCGCGGCTCTGCGCACTCGCATCCACTGCAATTGTCTCGGGGGCGCTTGCACGCGATCGCCCTCGCGGGGCCGTCGAGTGTCTCGCTCGGAAGGCCCGGGGCAACGCGGGGCCGTTCAGGGCGCGGTGCATGGGCGGCCCCGCGCCTCAACGCGTCTGCCGTTCCAAGAAAATCTCCCAGGAGAAGCTGCACCCAGCGCGGCGTCGCAAACGTGCATCCCGGAACCGGCTGCGAATTGACCTTGGCCCGAGGTGCGCAGCTGCCGCGACGGTCTCGCGCGTCTTCGCCAGGTCGCAGTCGCGCTAGCAGCCGCATCTAACGAAATCGACTCGGCGGCGCATCCTGAGCGCCATTGCCCAAGCGCACCGCCGCCAGACCACTGAGCGGAAGGCGCGCGCGCGCCAACGTAGAGCGCTGCGCGACGCAGGCGGGACTGGCGCCGGCTGGCGGGAGACAACCTCCAATGACCGCCCCGCTCTATCTCGAAGCCAAGCAGCGCCGTGGACGCAGGCACCGCGCTTCCCAACTCGCACTTCCACACCCGATTGGGCTGTCGATCTTCTCCGCCGCGCCGCCGATCGTCTCATCTGCTTCTCGACAAGATCCGTTGCGACCTTGCCGCAGCGACGGCGACCCCTTTGAGCCGCTCGATCCGCGGATGCAACCACGCACGGCGCGCGACGGCAACTGGCGCCCTTGCTCAGTGGATCTCGAAACGTCAGCCTTGTCCCCCCGTCGTAGGTCTCCGAGCGGAGACGTGGATCGCGCCCGCTCGGCGGCTGCGTCGCGGCACTCGCCCACCTAATTCGTCATCCACATGCGCTTCCACCGGCCCGCTCCAGCAGCATCGCAGGCGCCCTTTCGAACAGAGCTGCTCGCGGCGTCTCTCTGCGTGCACTCAGCATTGAATTGCTGCCAATAGCTGCTCGTCCAACAGCTCCTGCTTCAAAATGCCAGCGCCTTTCTGGTTCGCCAGGCCTCGAAGTCGGTGGCACTGATTCCCCCGTAAATCGCTTCGTCTTTAGATCGTGCGAGCATGCGAATTATCCGGCTTCGGCCTGAGAGCCGCCTTCCACCTGCTCGCCCAGATCGCGCTCTCTTCGGAAAAAGAAGGCCCCACCGCGATCGCGGACAAGAAGCCGTGGTAGACCGCGCGCGCGAAACCGCAGGTGCTCGATAGAGGGAAATACTTCGATCGGTTCTGTTTCGCAGCGAATGCTGCCAGAGCCCAGCGGGCGCGCGAGTCGACGCGGCGCGCCGCGAGGCTGGTCATCCAGGAAAGGAGACCACGCTGCATGCCGACATTGGGAATCGTCGCGGAGGTGGAGGCGATCGGCTTGCCTCCCCCACGCTGCCATTCATTCTCTACGCGCCGCGCGCGCGCCCGCCACCTCCCGCGCCCGACCCCGCGCCTGATTCGCCGCGTCGGCAAAGGCCCCGCTGCCATGGGGCACATCTCGCAAACGCCGGGGGAGAGGGCGCCGCGGTCTCCGCGCGATCTCCGCGCGCGCTCGCGGCCTCGCCTTGCCGACGTTCACTGATCAGTCACGACCTGGGCCGCGAGGCCCTGGAACTGCCGCCGCCGCCGGGCCGCGGCCCCATCCAGCATCCCCCGTCGGCGGGGCCATTGAGCGCGCGCGCCTGGCCCCAGTTGCGCATCTCGAGAAATGGCCAAGCAGATGGGCGTCGAGGGCGAGCGGGCCAATGCGCAGGCAGCGAACGCAGGGCGGAAAGCGCCATGCCCAACGCAACGCCAGACAGCCGAGGTCGCGCCCACCAGATGACCTACCAGGCGCCGGTCGCCCCCGCTGGCCCCGACGCGACAGCGCTTTTGGGGCCGCAGAGCACGCCCAGCAGAAACGAGCAGCGCTGGACTCGGTCAACCGCCAGCTGTGCCTGAGCGGGCCCCGTCGCATTCAGCGCGCGCCCCCCTGGAAACCTGATTTTGTTTTGCAGCTCTCGCGAGACTGTTGAATGCTCCTGGGTAGATCAGCGAACGCCCCTTGTCTTCAATCCTTGCCGGCTCCAAGAATGCCGCGCCGTTGGAGTGGATGCTTTCATTGGCCGGCCAATCGCCGCGTCGGGGGCCCAGCGTTCTCCTCGCCCCGCCAGTTGCCTGTGGCCAGGGTGCCCTCTTCCAGCTGCAGCTAATGGCGCGAGGCCAGCTTTTCGCCAGCGCCTCAGACTAGGCGACCCAATTCGCCAACGGCGCGAGGGGCCTCCGCGGGGCCATCGAAGCGCCGGCACGGCGGGCGACGCCCACTCCGCTCCGCCCAGGCGACTCGCACTGGCGCGCGCCGTCCTGCGATGGCACCCAGAGCTCATCGGGGAAATTGCCCTGCTCGCGTTCTCGAAAGCGCTGGGCTTCCGGATCTTGATCGAAGAAATTGAAAACTGGATTCGGTTCTTGCGGCGCGTCCAAGCCAGTCGAAGCGCCGCCCGTGCTGAGGCGCGTCGGAATTCGAAGCAGCAGATGTAGCCAGCAACGCCAAGGCACCAGCGGAAGCCGCACTGTGCTACGCCGAATTGGAACCCGCATCGCCTCTGCATCTGCGCCCCGCATCCAGCTCGACGCGCGCATGCCCCAGGCGCGTTGCATTTCCCCCATGGGTGCTCCTCCGAGCCGCAGCGGTCACTTTCCAGGCTTTGGCCGTCCGTCGCCCGAGGATTGCGTCGACGATTCCCCGCATCGCGGCCGATGCCCAAACCCAAGCAGCAATGCCGGCTGCCACTGGCACACGTCAGACACATAGCTCCTTCGCCGCTATCCGCAACGAAGGACCATCCATATGCGCCTGAAATCAAACCTCGCGTGCGTTTTCCGTTGCCCATGCCCCTGCCGCCCGCGTTGCATCGATGACGTCGCGGCAACCTTCTGGCGATTCGCCTTCAATGCTGCCAAGCCAATGCGAATTTCTCAGAGCTCTCCTGAGCTGTCACCTGGCCCGGCAGCTGCACCGTGACGCCAGACAAAGGTCGGCCATCATCCCTCCTCGTCTCCAGATCTTCTGCGTCCAACACCGTGTCGTAGTAGGGTGCTGTTTTGCACTGGTCGCAACCGATGGCTGTCTCAGGAGACGCTGCTGCATCGGAAATATAATGACCACGACCTTCACCAAATACATTGTGAGCCCCGCCAAGACTGCTAGACTGATCCCATTCGAAAAGTACGTATGATCGTTGTCGAAGAAGAAGCCACTCGAGTTCACTGGATTTGAGCGGTGATGCCCTCATCGACATCGTGCGTTCTGAACCACCCTCGTAAGGCAGCTCCCGTCTCACACACACACACACACACACGTCCACGACGTCGGATGACTGCGATGAGCGCCGCGAACTCCTTTTCGATCTAAAGAAAATTGCCGCCGCACGGCGCCAGAGACTGAGCCCGCTGAGACGGTGGAACACCGAGCGCGTCCAGCATCATCTAAGGCAAATTGGACACTCCCCTATTGAAATTGCCCAACTGCTGCGCCGTGACCTCTAAGCAAATCAAACCCGGACAATGTTTGATCGATGGGTTCTCCAGGATGTCTCCTGAACGCTACCAGTACCGCCATGGTGTCGGCCGGCGTGTCACCTGAAAGGGGGGCGAACTTACGCTGCAGGCCGTGAGTGAGGAGGACGTGACCAAAGCGAAACGCGAGGTCCATCATCGCTCCCTGGGACAATTGCTTTGATGGTACCTCTATCAGATTTCCGTGCCAAACATGTCAACTGTAGCACCACGGCAGGTGCATGCTGCCGCGGCTGTAGCTCCGTCGTAGCCTCCCACATGCGTACAACGGTCACCCACTCACAAAGATAATCTATATTTTCACGAGATGGGCCCCAGGAGTGCGGACTTTTGCTGCTTGCCTGCAGGTAGACGGGCCTCTGGGGCCAAAGTGATTTCTGCGCTATCAAATACCGCCATCTGAACAAGTCTGGGATCGGACCAAATCCGCGCTCCCACTCTTCAGGTTGGATGTCGGGGGCGCTGTCAATACAACTGGAGCTTGCTTCTGCTCGCATGCTGTGAACAACTCGTGCAAGTGCGTCCACGTTCGACATGGGGGACGAGATGAGGAACCGACCGTTTGCCTGCCTGTCGTCGTCGCAACACGAAATGACACAATGGAGGGAATGGGTCGGGTGACCATCACTGGCAGAATGAGCAACAACATCCCCTGCCTTATACCGTCAACTTGGCCGAGCTGCTACACTTCAACTAGAAAGGCGCCACGCGGGGGGGCCGAAACCAGCTGCACGCAGCTCCCTCCCTCCCCTTCGGCCCCCTCCCCCGAGGGGCGAGGAGGGGAGCCCCCAAGTCCTCTCACAGAGCGCGTTGTGACCAGGTATGCCGAGGCGGATCCAGCAATGGCGACCAGGCCCCCCAAGCCCCCCAAAGGGACCCACAAAAGGCAGAAGACATCGAACTCCTCCTTTTCCTCCTGTTGCCTCCTCCTCCTCCTCCTTCTCCTCTTCCGTCGTACACGCGCCTGCGAGATCTTCCGAAAGCTCCCCAAACCCACCGAGGCTTGGCAGAAGGACACCCCAGAGACCCACCGGACCTCATGCTGTGGTCCTCGCCCTCGTCGTCGCCTACATCCTCGTCCTCGTCGTCGCCTACGTCCTCGTCCTCGTCGTCCTCGTCCTCGTCGTCGTCGTCGTCGTCGTCGTCGAGGTCGTCGTCGTCGTCGTCGTCGTCGTCGTCGTCGCCCTAGCGAAAGGCGCGGAGGGCGGCCAGGCGCCTGCTCCGGCGGTCGCCCCTCCCTGAGCTCCTGCGGGGGGGGGGGCGCGGGCTGCCGCGGGCGGCGCCACGGCGGCTGCCGCGACTCCTGCTGCTGATAAAGCTCCTGTGAGTAATGACGGCCGCCTCCTCCGTTCCAGGTCATAACCTCCTCCTTCCGCTCCGCATCCTCCTCTTCCACCTGATCATCGAGATCATCAACATGGCCATCACTTTCATCATCACAATCTTCATCACCAGCACCATCAGCATCACCATCACCATCACCATCACCATCACCATCACCATCACCATCACGATCATCATCATCATCACCATCATCATCATCATCATCATCATCAGCAGCAGCAGCATCATCATCATCATCATCATCATCACCATTACAATCACCATCACAATCACCATCATCATCATCAGCAGCAGCATCATCATCGTCATCATCAGCATCAGCTTGAGCATCATCCATCATATCCACCATCATCATCAGTAGCATCAGCCTCATCATCATCATCATCATCATCATCATTATGATCTTACTCATTATTATCACTACAATCGCCATCATAATCGTAACCATGGTCATCATCATCAGCATCAGCATCAGCATCAGCATCAGCATCAGCAACATCATCAGCATCCTCATCCTCGTCGTCATCATAATCATCATCGTCGTCGTCATCATTACACCCACCCTCATCATCATCATCATCATCATCATCATCAGCAGCAGCAGCACCATCATCACCAGAACGCGCACCAGCACAAAGACCAGCACCAGCACCAGCACCATCATCATCATCATCATCATCATCATCACCAGCATCAACATCATCAGTATCATCATCATCATCAGCATCATCATCATCATCAGCATCATCAACAGCAACAGCACCAGCACCAGCATCATCATCATCATCAACATCATTAGTATCATCCCTCTCCTTCTTCTCCTGCTCCTACTCCTCTTCCCATCTCTTCAACACGACATTCGTATTCTCCTCCTACCCCTTCTCCTCCTTTTCTTCAGCATCATTGTCATAATCAGCAGATTTTCTATCAGCATCATCACCATTACCATCATCATCATCAGCAGCAACATTAGCATCATCAGCATCATCATCAACATCAGCATCATCAGCATCATCATCCCTCTCTTTCTTGTAATGTTTATCCTCCTCCCCAATTCCGTATACAGACTCGGAATCGTATACTCAAAGGGCAGGGCTCTGGTTTCGGGGGTGTCTGACTTGAGCTGCCTTGGAGGGCTGGAAGGGCGGGGTCTCCGACTCGGAGCGGTAAGAAATAGCTCATCTGGGAGGGTTGTAATCCCCCTATTGTCAGCAAGGCGGGCGAGGCGGGTCGCGTGAGTCTTCTTCGCCTCTTATGGCTTCTTCACCTTTTCACCTCTGCACAATTTGCAGCAGTTGCACGGGTGAAGGGGGGGTCAAAATGGGATCTCGCCTTAACGCCACGCACATTCATCAGATATCCAACAGCTTCAAGGAGGGAAGAGAGGTCTCTTTCAAAATGGGCCTCTTAGCGCGGCGCACATTTGTCTGCAAATCCTGCAGCAATTTCAGGAATGGCGGGGATCATGTTCGACATGGGGCTCCCGCCTGAGCGCCGAGCAGATGTGCTAAAACTTTGCTACGTTCGCAAAGATCGAAAGAGCTTCTGTTCAAAACGGGGACTTCGAGCTGGCACCGCGCACGTTCTTCTTCAAAGGTTGCGACGGCTTCAGGGACGGACCTGGTCCTTCCCCCTTCTCTTCCATCCTCCTCCAACTCCTCCTCCTCAACCTCCTCCTCCTTCTCGCTGGTGCAGAAGCTGGAGAAGAGACGGATAAACGCCGCTTGGGGCCCGCTTGACAGGGCCTGAAATTAGCGGTCGCGTGTGGCCATGCTCCTTCGCTGTTATGTGAGCGAGCGCGTCGGCAGCCTCTGGTTGTACTCTTCCGCCGCTTCCTCCACCTCCTCCTCCTCCTCCTCCTTCCTCCTCCCCCTCCCTCCTCCTCCATCCTCCTCGCCAATGCTCCTACTCCCCCTCCTCCTTCCTCCCGCCCTCCTCCCGCTTTTCCTCCTCTTCCTCCCCCACTCCTCCACCCTCCATTCCCCTCTGGTCCTGCGCAGCCCGCTCGGCAGCCTCGTCGTAGCGCTGGCCTGCCCGAGGCAGGGATCCGCCAGCCGCCGCGGCCAAGAGGAGCGACGGAGGGCGGGAAGGGAGGCCCCGACATCGGGAGCGACGCTGACGAAGACGACGGAGACGATGAGCACGACGAAGAGGAAGGGGAGGAGGAAGAGGTAGATGGAGGGGGACGACGACGACGGTGGGGAGAACGAGACCCCTGGCGAAGCGACCCACCGGGGGCAGCTTTGTCATTCTCGTCCTCTTCGTCCTCGCGAGGAGTCGCCCACACCTCTGGCGCCACCAGGAATCGCGATTGCGATACACTCTCGCGTATTGAGCCGTTTCGGCCCCGCGGGCGTTCGCGGGACGAACTCAGCCTGCCCCTGAGGTCCGGTCGGACATTCTGGGGAGCCGCGTAACACAGGAAGCTACTTGTGGATTACGGAAGCAGGAGCGGCGGCAAGCGGGGGGAGCGAACGCGCAAGACGGACAGAGTGCAGGATGGAAAGAGGCACGAAGAGGAAAGAAGACATGGAGAGAGGGATGGGACCCAGAAGAAACGAGGGAGGAAAGAGATTATGACGGGAGCAAAACAAGAAGGGGGGTAGGAAGAGCAGGGGGGCAGATAAAGGATTGAAGGGTGGGACGTGGAGGAGTAAAGGTGAGAAGGTTCGGAGAGAGGGGCATGACAGGGAAGGGACCGCATATGGACAAACATCTACGACCCTTGACACCGTGCCCCCCCTCCCCCCAATTTCAAAAGAGTGCGAGAGGACAAAAAGTTGAACCTCCATGGCGCCCGGGAGGCCGAAACCAACTTTGAAATGAGGGGGGGGGGGGAACGCGGGGTCGAAGGCGAAGGGGTTCCACTTTTTTGCCCCCTTCCCGCAGAACGGGACGAAAGGGAGGTTTTACGACAGCGCCCATGATCCTATGCGTTAGGCCTCCATCCCCTGTTAGAAGCCTGCACATTCCTTACTCGGATAATGGGGTGTCAGGGGTGAGGTGGGAAAAGAATGCTTGTCCTGAAGGCGGAATGTTAGGTGAGAGTAAGGCGCGTATCAGGCGGGCACGGGGCGCTGCAGGCTTGAGTCAAACAGAGTCGGGCCCAGACAAGAAGGTTGAAATGAGCCGAGCAGGTGCCCGTCGAGTCTGGTGTTCAAGCCATTCCGTCGTGCCCCCGTTGGTCCCAATGCGCAAGCCGCACAGGAATCCGCGGCGCGAGGTCGCGGGGTTGCTCCATGGGCGCCTTATGGACCGCACCCGAAACAGAAGGGGCATTCGACGAACCGCACCCTTAACAACTGCATGCAACAAGGGGGGGCTGTGCTGACCACCACCTTCGTGAACAAATTGCCTGCAGCGAGCGCTCCGCCGACCGCGCTCGCGAGACTACTGGTGGAGCACCGGCGAATTGTATGGGGCCGCGCTGTGATAGCTGCCATCCGCACATACGCGCACCATCTTGGCCTTCTTTTTTCCACTCGGTGGGCACATTCGCGTAGACAGACAGCTCCGCAAAGCTGTACATGTCCATCTCTCCGATGTCTGTTTTTAGCTGTAGTGGTCACCTTTGTCGGAGGTATTCCGCGAGACGCTCCCTTGTCTGGATGTCGCGCTGCACTCGGAATCCTCCTTCGCCCTCTTTCGCAGCGCGACTGCCTCTAAGCTCCTCATCCTTCTCTTGCGCCTGGGGCCTGGCTGTAGTCGCCGTTGCTGACCCTTCTCCGTCCCCCTGCGATGCGAGGTCAATTGTCTCGCCGCCCGCGTCGGCCCCCGCCCTCCCCCCCGATCCATCAATTCCGAGGCCCAACCCCTCGACGCCCCCAACTATTGCGGGGGTGGCGCCAGCCCGTCGCGGCACCCCCCCTTATCTGCACGTACGCCGAGCAGATTACCCACTGCGATGTCGCCGACCTCCTTGAGGGGTTGCGACCGATCTTTCATGCTGTCGGCGTGGCTGACGTCGCTGCAGCGTGTCCCAATGCATCCAGCTCCGCTGCACTCAGCCATTTCCCCGGCATGGCATCTCCTATCGACCAACGAACTGTCATCCAAAATGGAGACGTCGTCGGCCCTTGGCCCTCGAGATGCCCGGGCGTCGGGCGGGGGGGGATCGAGCTCGAGCACGTCGCCGCTCTTCCAGATCCCCCTGGTCCCTCAGGGCCCCCGCACACTCTTTTTGCCCCTTCGCGGGGCTGCGATCATCTTCTCTCCCCCGCACCCCGCTTGGTCTGCTGGCGCGCTCTGAAAGCCCGCGCGGCGACGCTGCTGTCCGCGTTCTGGTCCTCTGGCTTCTGTCGCACGGGCCCTCGCCGCGCGCCTGCTCCACTTCCATAGTTGCCCCTCGAAGGTGCCAGCGGATAATACGTTCTCTTTCCTCTGGATCTTCTCTGCCTCTCCGCGCCCAAGACTGCCCATGAGGCCCCCAAGACGCCCAAAGAGCGTTCCAAGATGCCGAAGATGACCCCAAGACGGCCCAAGAGGCTTCCAAGTGGCCTCCAAGAGGCCTCACAAGAGGGCCCCGAGAGGCCAAAACCATAATTTGTACGATGGTTCTGGAAGGACTTTGGCCTTGTCGTCTTTTCGGCTTTCCGATGAGAGGCTTCCAAGAGGGCCCAAGAGGGCCCCGAGGCGGCCCGAGAGGCGCCCAAGATGGCCCAAGAGAGCCCCAAGGCGGCCCCAAGAGGGGCCCACGAGGGGGACCACGAACCGAAAACACGAGCCTTCTGCCCCAAGAGGGCTCCAGGAGGCCCCGAGAGGCCCCCAAGAGGCCCCAAGATGCCGCCAAGAGGCTCCAAAGAGGCCCCAGGAGGCCCCCAAGAGGTCAAAAAGAGGCCCCAGGAGGCCCCAGAAGGCTTCAAAAATGTCTCCCAAGCGCCCCCGAACAGCTTATCAAAAGACCCCAAGAGGCCTCCCAAAGAAGCATCTTGACGACGACCCTGTTTGGCCCCAAGAGCAACACAAGATGCCAACGAGAGGCTTCCTCCACCGCCCCCTCCTCTTCCTCTTCCACTTCCTCTTCCTCCTCCTCCTCCTCCTCCTCGTCCTCCTCCTCCTCTTCCTCCTCCTCCTCCTCCTCTTCTTCCTCCTCCTATTTATCTTCATCCGCCTCCTCTCCTTCTCATCCTTTCCTCCGCTCCACCCCCCTTTCCCCATCCTCATCTTCCTCCGCACCACGATGGCCCCGAGCCCACGGCGAAAAAGTAGCGTTCATGCAATATGGGCCGGCGGAGTGAGCGAAGCGATTGAATATGTTGTCTTTCATCTGGATGTTCTCTGCCTCTCCGCTGCGCTCGAGTCGGCCACGTCCGTCAGCGTCTCCGCGCTTCCCGTTCTATCCCCACGTGTTTGAGATCATTACCGCTGTTCATGAAATGCCGGTTCCGCGGTGGTGATTCCCCACTGCTCTTGCTCCTCAGTATCGAAATCATTCTTCTGATCCTCGGAGTCTACGCTGATCTGGCTCAGGTCGATGGCCTTCGAAACCTCCTTCTCGAGCATCTCATCCAGCCTTTTCTTCGTCTCGGCCTCGCCCTCTGCCAAGTACTGATACTCCTCTGTGATTACTTGATCCTCTTGGTATACGATGTCCTCCAACTCCTCTTTTCCTCTTCCTCGCGGCTTCCCTTGTCTCCGCTCGAGGGCGCCGTCGACCCCCTGGTTGTAGCACCAGTCATCAAGCTCTTCCGTCGGCGTCCATTGGCTGCCTTTCATCCACACATGCTGTAAATAGTTCCAATAATCGTCATCACCCCACGGCCCATGATCCGGCAATCCTCTGTCCGCCCAGGACTCCATTTCATCCTTACGCCTTTCGCCCTCATCCCCCAGCTTTTCCCGGCACTCTCCCCGCAACCTTTCATCCTCATCTCTCTCTCAAATTCGGCATTTCCATGGGCCTCGTCTTCCATTTCTATGTCTGGCCCGTGCGACCACCTCTCGCGCTCTCTCAACTATTCCTCTGCTTGTCTCTTCGCTGGCAGTCGTCGTTGCTCTTCCTGTCGCTCGTGCTCCTGCTTTTGCCTCTCGTGCCCGTGCTGCAGCTTCCGTGCCTTTGCCATCTGATCACGCCGCTGCTGCTCCTGAGCACTTCTCGCTTGCCCCCATATCGGCTGCCGAGCCCGATGGCATACGGCCGCCTGCCGTCGTTGCTCCTCCTGCTGGTGACTTTCGACCTGCCTTTTCGTTACCGCCTCCTCGTTGGCCTGCGTCTGCATCATGGCGTACTGGTCATGCTACAATATTTGTATTTCTTGATGCTGCACTCGCCTCTCCAATTGGGTCTGCTGGACCTCTTTCGCCATGTCCGCTCAGATCTAGTTGTCCCTCTCTTCCGCCGCCTTCTGCTGTGAAAGCCGAACCTCTGCCTGTTGCCTGTGGAGATCGAATGTTTCCTGCTGGTGTGCCAGGTTCAGGCTGGCGAGTTCGTTTTGCCTATGTGCCTCTCCCTTTTGGAGACGGTCCACAATTCTTTTGGATTCCTCACGCTCTTTCTTCTTTCTCTCCTGCAGCTCCTTCTCTTGCTCCTGTTGAGTCGCCTCCATCTGTCGTTGCTTCTCGTTGATCATTGTCATGCACCGATTCAACTGCTTATCGTGTTTCGCCATGGTCTGATCTCCCTGTTGTTGTGTGTTTCTCTGGCTCTCTCTGCGGCTTGTCTCGCCTCCACCTTCGCATCCATGATTTGTCTGTCCATCTCGCTGTCCGTGTCGCCGAGCTTCTTGATGACTCCATACTGTTCCCTCATACTTTTCGTCATATCGTCCATCTCCTTCCTCATGAGGCGGAACTTGCCTTCCATCTGTTCCGTCCTCGACGTCGTCGCCTCTGAATCGGTGTTCGCCTCCTGCCTGTCTCCAGTCCTCGTACCACTCCTGTCGTCGACCGTGCTTCGTCCTCTTCCTCACTCGACTGGTCTACTTCGCGGGTTTGTTCCTCCTCGTCCTCGTTTGCATTTCCTTGTCCCCCTTGTGCTTCTGCTTTTTGTCCGTCTTTTGCCAAGCACTTCTCCTTCTGAAAACTTCCCGCATTTGCACCACCACTGCGTCATGGCTGCCGCATTTCCATGACTGTCAAGGTGCCTGCCCCGTCGCCATGTTCTCCTTTTGATGTCGGTCCTGATGTTGAACTGGGTTGTGGCCCCAAAACAATTATTCTGCCGCTGCTTACAGGAGCAGTAGCCTGGCCTCTCCCCTCATCTCTCGCTGCCTCCGATGTGCTGCTCCTTCTGGTGCGCCTCCTCCGCTTATCCGCGGCGTCCTGCCGCTGTGGCCGCTTCGCGGACGCTCGCCAAAATTCGGCTACCCGCAAGAGTGACCCTGGGTAAGAGTGACCTTTGGTGCGCGGCTTTTTGGGGGCCGCGGGGGGGCCAAACCTGGGCGCGCAAGCCGCTGTTCCTGCCTCGTCTTCAGCCATCTGGGGACCCATCTGTGCCCGCACCAAAGGTCACTCCGGCGAAAGGTCACTCTTACGCCTAGTCGAACAAATTCTGGCGCGGCACGCGTGAGCCCCGGCCCAGGGGCTGGCCAATGCGCGCTCGGCGCTCTACCACCGCCCTCGATCGGGCGGCAGGCGCGACCGAATCCCGATGGATCGGTCGGGATCGGCGGGCCCCGTCAGAGGCAAAATGGGCGTTCCTCCTCCTCCTCCTCCTCCTCCTCCTCCTCCTTCGCTTCCACCTCCTCCTCGTCCTCGTCCTCCTCCTCCTCCTCCTCCTCCTCCTCCTCGTCCTCCTCCTCCTCCTCCTCCTCCTCCTCCTCCTCCTCCTCCTCCTCCTCCTCCTCCCCCTCGTGTATAATGGGAACGTCTCCAGCGGAAGAGTGGGAGGAGGAGGAGGATGTCGTAGACACGGCTGAGCCTCTCCCTCCTCCGTGTCGATGCCCTCCTCGTCCCACTGCTCGTCCTCGTCATCGCCTCGCCATCGTCCTACTGCTCGTCCTCTTTCTCATCTTCGCCGTCGTGGCCGCCGCCGTCGTCGCCGTCGCCTCGCCAGGCACGCGGCGGCGGGAGGGGGGCGCCGGATCCCAGGAAGCTGCCGCCCAAGAACTCCCGGCGCTGAGGCTCCTCCGGCTCGTCGTCCTCCGAGGGGGCAGGCGGCGGCGGAGCAGCGAGAGGAGGGGGATGAGAGGCAAGACGGGAGACGGAGCATTGAGGACGGAGGGAGGAGGAAGGTGGAGAAGGAGGGCGGGCAGAGAGGAGGAAGCGGCTGAGGGGTGGGACGGAAGACGAAGCAGGGAGGACGGAGGGAGGATGGAAGAGGAGGAAGAGGGAGGAAGAGGAAGAGGACGGGGAGGAGGAGGGGGGGAGGAGGGGGAGGGGCGGGACGGACACTGGAGCAGGTGGGACGGAGGGAGGACGGAGGAGGACGGAGGGAGGAAGAGGAGGAGGAACAAGCTGCTGCTGCTGCTGCACACGGCTGTTGGACAACGAATGCACAATGAACAGCGAAACCCTCTCTCTCATTTGACTGAAGCTCCTGCACGCGTGGAGAAGCGCGGGGACCGAAGCTGACACCGCCAGCGCAGGGGACCGGCCGGAGCCCGCAAAAGGGGGATGCGAGCGAACGGGGGGCGAAGAATCCGACCCCACCACCCAACGACTTCTGAGGCGGGAAGTGGGCTTCACTCCGCCCGGGACCTCCAGAGCGAAGAGAACTCCACCTTCCCCCTATAAGTCGTGGGGTGGTGGGGCAGGGTTCGCATGTGGCCTCCTATAGCCGAGCGCGTTCCAATACTCGCCAAGTGACTGCTCGCAAACGGCCTGAATACCGCGGAGGATCTACGACAAATCTCATCGAAGCAAACCCGTGGCTTTCGGACGTCTGCGAGTAGGCACTCTGCAGGTAGTGGAACGCGCCTGGTGCTCCCAGGACGGGCCACGCAGAATCTGCACTCGAAGCTGGTCCCCGTGCCCGCCGCCCGCGCCCGACGGGCGTTTCTTCCCTCCCTGCCCGGGCGCGCGCTCGGCGCCGCGCGGAGCCCGAGGCGCGGCGGTGGCCTCGGGCGCGGGGCGCGCGCACGCTGGGAGCCCACTGCCCTCTGCTGCTGCAGGCACTGCTCTCCTCCCGTGCCTCCAGTAGAGGAAAAGAACGATGCACATACACCGACGTTGGCCAGGTCCATCCTGAGCCCAGGATCGGTGCATGCGCCCTCCTGCCTTGGCCAGGAAGGCATATGCACCGATCCTGGGGCCAAGGACGGGCCTGGCCAGGACTGGTGCATGTGCATAGTTCTCTTCGCCCGATCCACCCCTCGGGCGATCCCTGGAGGTGCAGCGGAGGCCAGTCCGCAAGAGACCTTCCACAGCAGAAACCCCAACCCTGAGACCCCTGGGTGTCCATCGGTGATGTGGCGTGGGGACGTCGCGCCGTCCACAGCAAAACCATCGGAGCCCAAGAAACCCAGGGCACCCTGGAGGCAAGCAGGGCGTGTCTTGGCATGGGTCTCCACAGTACACGATTTTTCCTCGCCTCTCCACTCTCGGCGACCAGTGCGGGAAGCTCGGCTCTCGCTGGCCGCTGTGATGACCTCCTCAAGTGCCACGAAGGCCGCCGCGGGGCGACCTCCTGCTCGTCTCAAGACAAGTTGGCCGCACGTCTGCGCGCACCGTGCATCCAGGACCAACGGGATCACGGACTCCTCGTACCCGTGGGTCTCGACGAGCTCGAGGGGCAGGCCCACGAGAAAGAAGGGCACGCCGTGCGCCAACGCCAAACCTGCCCGAGCACACACTTCCGGGAGCATGTCCGCTGCCTGCACCGCAGGCTGGGCACCACGCTCCAAGCGGCACTTTGCGAGGCAATGCTTCGCGTCCCTGTTCGGGTCCCCCGTCAGCAGATCCTCCGCGCTGAACGCCTCCTCTGCAGTCTCACGTTGTGCGCGCCGTGCCGCGCCGATGTGCTTGTCGTGCGCGGGCTCACACAGGATGCAGTCCGCACCAATCGTGTCACGCTTGGCGTCCTCGATCGTGACCGGCACGTGCGACTCCACGGGACGAGGCTGGGGGTGCCGTGCCAGGATAGGACAGCCGCAGAACTGCATCCTGCACTGCGTGGCCGTCGAGCACTCACCCTGGTGCTCTGGCCCAGGCGGAGGTTGGGCCACGGCAGCTCCACGGCGAAACAGTCCGGGGGAGTTGGGCACGCGCACGCCGCCAGGCCGGGGCGCCTCGGTCTCCCACGTCCATACACAAGCCCAGCAGCAGCGCGGGACGCCAGAGCACTGGGCGCGCGTCCGCCTGCCCCCCCTGGGAAACGGGTGGGCACACTGGCAGCCATCACCGCCCCGCGGAAGCGGCTGCACCCGTCACAGGTGGAGCTCCTGGGATGGGACTCCGCTGAAAGGGGGACCTGCGCGGGTTCGGAGCCTGAGGAGAAGGAGGAGGAGGAGGAGGAGGAGGAGGAGGAGATGGAGGGGGAGGAGGAGAGGAGGAGGAGGAGGAGGGAGGAGGAGGACAAGGAGGAGGAGGAGAAGGAGGAGGAGGAGAAGGAGGAGGAGGAAGAGGAGAGGAGGAGGACGACGAAGGGGAAGAGGAGGAGGACGACGAAGGGGAAGAGGAGGAGGAGGAGGGAGGAGGAGGAGGAGGAGGAGGAGGAGGAGGAGGAGGAGGAGGGAGGAGGAGGGGAGGGATGAAGAGTGATGAGGAGGGATGAGCAGGGATGAGGAGGGATAAGGAGCGATTAGGAGGGAGGAGGAGGAAGAGGAGGAGGAGGAGGAGGAGGAGGAGGAGGAGGAGGAGGAGGGGGAGAAGGCCCGACGACCACTAGATTTCAAGTGGCGGTGATCAACTGATGAACCCATGCTTCCCTTCAGTTCTGCATTTGGACTCCACCTTGCGGGCGTGGCGGCCGACAGCAAGAAGTAGAGGTCGAACCGAGGCTCGTTCAGGATTAGGCTGCAATTGTCGGGTTGCGTTGGTTACTTCTTACTGTTCAGCGGTGCACATCGGTCGGAAAACAAGTAGGGACAAACATGAAGTAGTAAGGCGGATCAAGTAACTTGGGTTCAGACCCTCCCAGAAAAAAAACAACACACAGTAAACGCATATCGGTCACTGAAGTAGGAAGGCGCCTCAAGTAGATTGGGTTCTGGGAATCCAGAGGTACTTACTTTCAACGACCGATGGGCAAATGCTTGGAGCATATCTTCCGACCTGGGCTGCGATCGTCACCTCGCCGTGGCGTCGAGAGCCCCGCGGATGCTGTCACCGCGCGCACCTGAGCACGGGAGGGAGCGCGGGACCACGAGGCGCGCCCCCCGTTCTCGCAAGCGGCCCTCGGGCCACAGTATTCGGTCGAGCCTGTCCCCCTACAGGGGAATCTTGGACGAAACATGAAAAAAATGTACAAACACTGCTCCAACAATGCTCAAAAATACTGTAAAAATCGTCCCCAGGCAATTTTGGACTATTTTTGCATGTTCCTCCTGCAGAGGGACAAGCCCGACTTCACCATAGCAAAGCTGCACGGGCGGATGGCTCCCGCGCCCTCCCCTGCTCCCCCGGCAGCGGCCGCGGCACAAGGCGCCCCGAGCTGCTCGCTCCCATCTCGGCGCCCCCGCCGCGGCAGGAGGCCGGGAGCTGCTCCAGGTGCCCCCGGGCCCAGGGTGCCCCCAGCTGCGCGCTCCGCCCCGGTGCCCCTGGGCCCGCCTTGGCCTCGTGATGGGGGCGCTCTGGAGGCCGTGGGGGCCCCCGCGGGAAGCCTGGGGGGCACCTCTGGGGGCCAGGGGCACCTCTGGGCAGCACCCGGGGACGGGGGGAGAAGGGGGGGCGAGACGGGCGGGGAGGGCCCACGCCCGGACGACACAGGGCCGAACCCCAGGTGGAACGAGGGGGAGCGGGCACGCCAGGCCAGAGCCAAAGCCGTGCGCCGCGCGGGGAGGGAACCAGAACGCACCGCGGGCGGCCCGACGCACCGCCGGCAGCCCCACGGGGGCGGGCCCTCGGCAGCGCGCTGCGTGCCGGGCCGCCGCGCGCTCGGGCTGCTGCCAAATTGCCGCCTCGCCCAGCCTGGCGAAAGCACCGGGTGGTGGGGCAAGATCCAGAACGGCTACGGGGGGATAGAAGGGAGGAGGAGGAGGAGGAGGAGGAGGAGGAGGAGGAGGAGGAGGAGGAGGAGGAGGGAGGAGGGAGAGGGACGCGAGAGGGGGAGGAGGCGGGAGGAGGATGAGAAGAAGGAGGTGGAGTAGGAGCAGGAGGAGGAGGAGGAGGAGGAGGAGGAGGAGGAGGGGGAGGAGGGGGGGGGCGGAGGAGGAGGAGGGAGGCGGAGGAGGAGGAGGAGGAGGGGAATTGGAAAGCAAGCGATGACAGAGGAGAGAGGGTGCAGGCAAGCGATGTGCGCTCGCGCAAGATCTGACATTGCTACCGCATCCCACCCATCCCTTCCCACTGCGCTGATGTCTTGTCTCTCCACAGACGCGTGTCACAGAGGACGTGGAATTCCAGAAAGGAACCCGTCGTGTTATGCTCACTCGGAGTGAAGAGCTGCGTGCATTGGAAGAGGATGTAGCGGATGAGCAGGAGGGTGAACAGTAGAAGCAGGAGGCTGAGCAAGGAAGACGAGGACGAGCAGCAGCGACAGGAACCGGAATGGAAGCAGCGGGAGGAGCAGGAGCACGAGGGGAAGGCGGAGGAGGGGAGGAGAGGGAGGCCACAACGCTGAGAAAAAGAACTCGGGTCTCAGAACGTGGCCCGCGCTGGGGCGAGAGCACCCTTCCGAAGGACGCGAGGGATCGGCGCGCCAGCCCCAAACGAGGCCCGCGCGGCAGCGGGAGCGCTATTCTGCACGGGCGGAGGACGTTCGGATGGACACGCAGTGTAAGAAAAAGCAGCTCGGACCAATACCGTGGAAGGGGGGGACGCCGCTCTCAAGACGCCCTCGGGGTTCGACAGGCGCTCGTCAAGAGTACCTCAGCCCGTGTTTACGAATGAGGCGGCCATCAGAGATGTACAGAAACATGACTTGGCTGTAAGGATGCTCGCGGTCCAGCGGTTGACCCACGGAAGGCCATACTTGAAAGATGACGATTCGACAAACAACAATACGACAATTGTGCCACAGGCTGAAGCCGTGGTGCGGGAGGTCACGACGCCCTCATACACGCCAATCACAATGATTGATTGTCGGGGATCGTCGAGTGAACTGTTTTCGTCGTGGGTGGGGAATCACCTCAGCTCCTTTCGCGCGGTCTCGTTCGACCGAGAAGAAGATGGATAGAAAAGACGGGGGGAGGAGTGAGGAGGAGTGAGGAGAAGGAGGAGGAGGAGGAGGAGGAGGAGCGGTCCAGGCCAAGCACCCACGCATGGGCACAGAGACCCTCCAATCAGCCCGCGGGGACAGGAAGTGCTACCTCCTCCGTATGTTCATCCTCCTCCTGTTCCTCCTCGTCCCCGCGCACCTGGACGTCATGAAGCAAGCGCGGCGCGTGCTTTTTACACGCCATGCGGCCCAGGACCCTCACAAGTCGAGAGTGTCAAAAAAGTCTCGGAATCAGCATGAGATCGAGAGCTCCAGTGCTGCGGTATTTCGCGGCGTCCTGCTTTTACTTACACGACGTCGGGAGGTGGATGACGACAAGGCCAAAGCGTATTCCTCGTCCATGTCGTCCGACATCGCGAAAAGCTGCCTTCCGGGATAGAGGTCGGGATCGCACGTTCCACTCCCCCCCCCGCACCTCACGCCTCCCGCCCACCATCCTACCTTCACATCAGCTCCCCATCCCTCGCCCCTCAAACTCACAGACACACATAGAACACACTCCCACTAATTAGCCACACGCCCATCACCCTCCCCTGCCCCTTTGTCCAACCCTGTTACCTCCGACCGACACTCATTATTCTTTGTGTGTGCGGCATTTAGATTCAGGAAGTATGCCGCTGCCATGTATGTTGTGCCACCACTTGGTGGGTAAACAAGGGATCCTGCATGCTGGTTCTATTGGCCCCCTGCTGCGGATCTATGCAGTTGTTCGTGAAGATCGTCCAGAGCAACGGATCGTACTCTCACTTGTGGAGCTGGCATAGTCTTGCCACCTGGGGTGCTTAGTCGGCGCCGTACGTGATGATAGTGTCCATATGCTGGTATGGCCTGGCCACTTCGATCGCCACTTCTGATCTTAGATGTGTGGTCACCGCAGGATGAGCGCGGCATTAAGTTTCTCTCGAAGTTGGTGTCCATTCCGCGAGCAGCGCAGCACTCGTTGACTGACTTTGTCAACAAGCGCATCTGGTCGCTAGTCTATACAAATGGCGTCGATCAACAAACTGATATTGTGGTTCTGCTGTGGCTCATCCATGTCTTCCAAATTCACAAATGTATTGCAAAAACTCGTCATGATACATAGCACGGAAATGGTCCCGTACCTATTTCTGGTTGGTCGAGCTGGCGTGGTTCCGCCAAAACGTATCCTCATCGCGTCATTCGTTCGGGGACGGCTGCGATAATCGGTCTGGGAGTGTGGGGCTGGACTGTCCGCTGCAATCCCGCTACGTGCTGCAGAACGCTCGCTCAACTTCTGTAGAAGTTCGTGGTTGACGCTCCGATCGTGATTCAGAGGGAATCCATCCACATGCCGTGTTCTACGACCAGTGGCTTCTACCAACCAGCCTTCACTAGTAACGCGCGCATATTGTTGTCGCGCTGGTCCAGGGCTATCCTCTCAACATCACACGTTGCCCATGGTGGATCTGCAGCTTGCCTTTGGGACCCACGTCTAAGGCTGATCTGCGGGTGTCCAGCTTGGCGGCTTGCTTGGATTGGGCTTACAGGATTTGAAAGCCTGGGACGGAAAAGCCTTGCAACGTCGATGCCCTCCCTCGATCAGCTGAACAGGTCCGGTCGGTACGTGGGCCCCCAGGGCCGGACCGCGGAAGGCACGTCATGCCATCATACAGCCTGGCGGGGAGCAGTTTGATACCGAGCTGCAGTTTGACCCCTGACGTGTTCGGGGTAGTCTCGCCAACATGGTACTCAATGCCTTGCAAAACACCCACCTCATTCGTATAGTGTTCCGTCTGTGCATCTGTCAGGCGGCCACCGTTGAATGTGGAATGCCCCCTCAGTTGAGCCTGACTGCGTGGAAGGTGATAACCGCCTAAAGCCCTGGGTGCCGCTGCTACACCTGTATCAGAAACTACATATGAGACCCTACCATATACTGCTTCTGGCAGCATGCCCGTGAAGGTGGCAAAGCAATTGCGTTTGTCGATGTCCAGAGCAGAGAGGCCGTCTATCTGCGGCGATGGCTCTCTCGGGTCCGATGATGCCCTTGATGTCCATCTGCGCCTAGATGAGCAGCACCAGTGTGCAGTTCCTCGCTGATGCAAGGGATGAAGCGCAATCAACTTGTTGCTCCAAAGGGCACTGGAGTGCATCGGGTGTGAATCTGACGAATGCTAACAGCGGTGGTGCTGTGCTAGGCTTCAACAGAATCTGCGGCAGGATGCGACCCTCGCTCTTACGAAGCGAAGCAAAGCAACCACACACACAGAAACGCACACACACACATGTATATATATATATATATATATACATATATATATGTATATATATATATATATATATATATATATATATGAAGAGCGTGTTCTACCGCTGCTGGCGGAAAACCGGGGGGGGGTCACTACCGGTTCGAACCCCTCCCCCCCCCCTCCCGGAAAACCGGGGGGGGTCACTACCGGTTCGAACCCCTCCCCCCCCCCCCCAGTTCATCATGAAAAGGGGGGGGGGTCACTACCGGTTCGAACCCCCCCCCCCCTCGAAAACCGAGTGGGGGTGCGGACAGTGGTGGGGACGGTGTTGGTGGGGACAGTGGTGAGGGGACAGCGGGACAGTGGTGGGGACAGTGGGACAGTGGGACAGTGGTGGGGACGGTAGTGGTGGGGACAGTGGTGGGGACAATGGTGGGAACAGGGGGGACAGTGGACAGTGGTGGGGACGGTGGTGGTGGGGACAGTGGTGGTGGGGACAGTGGGAATGAGGTGGAAACAGTGGGATAGTGGAGGGTACAATGGTGGTGGGGACAGTGGTAAAGGCGGTGGCGAGGACGGCGGTGGGACAATGGGACAGAGGTACAGTGGGGACAGTGGTGGGGACAGTGGGGACAGTGGTGGGAACAGTGGGACAGCTCAGTGGGACAGCGGAGGAGTCAGTGGGACAGTGGGGACAGTGGGGATAGGCAGTGGTTGGGTCCGTGGAGACAGTGGGGAGAGTGGAACCGTGGTGGGAACAGTGGTGGGAACAGTGGGGACAGTGCGACAGTGGTGGGGGCACTGGTGTGGACAATAGGGACGGTGGTGGAACCAGTGGGGACAGTGGTGGTGAGGACAGTGGTGCTGGGAACAACAGTGGGGGATGTGATGCGAGCGGTGGTAGGGACCGGGAGTCGTTTGCTGGCGGTGCGTGGGGGGGGGGTCGAACCGGCAGTGACGCCCCTCCGGTTTTCGAGGGGGGGGGGGGTTCCAACCGGTAGTGACCCCCCCCGGTTTTCCGGATCCGGAGGGGGGGGGGGGGGGAGGGTTCGAACCGGTAGTGACCCCCCCCCGGTTTTCGAGGGGGAGGGGGGGGGGAGGGGTTAGGGGAGGGGGGGGGTTTTGCCGGGGGGGAGGGGGGGGGGGGGTTCCAGCAGGGGGGGGGGGATTTTCGGAGGGGGGGGGGGAGACCTCCGGGTTCCGGAGGAAAAGGTTGGCAATTTTCCACAGTAAAGCGGCGGTGGATCACGCTCTCCAATATATATATATATATATATATATATATATATATATGTATACATGTGCTAGAACCATCGCGTGCGCTTCGCGCGCGCTGAGTATCTAGCTGGTCGAATGCTGACCGAATTGGGACAACGAGGCGGTCATGAATGATGAGGTCAACATTCTCTGCTTGCTCCTGCCTTTTCCTCATTCCTCCTCCTCCGCTCTCATCGACCGTTCGACCGGTGAGCTGTCGCCAAGCTATGGGCTATAAGAAATGCAGCGCTACAGCGCCACGTTGCACCATGCTATGGAATGCCATGATACACTGTGCTACGCTACAAAGCGCAATGTCAGGATGTAATATGCAACGCAATATCATGATATAATCTACAGTGCGCATTGCATGCCATGCCATGCTGTGCTGAGAAATGCGATGATAATGCATGTGATGATACGCTGAGCCATACCATGCTATGTTTTCTATGAAAAGCGGTGCTACCGCGATACATGGTATGCACAGACATGGCATACCGGGCTATGCAATGCAATGCTATGCTATGCCATGCTATGAGCTGCTCAGGTAACATAAACAGGACGACTGTAGGAACAACACTGGAAGCGTGATATTTGCATGGCTTCTGATTACTGTTGCGCAGAGCAGTACGGTGCTGTTCGATTAATTGCATGCGCATTGGAATGCCATACAACGCCACGATGTGTCATGCGATGCAACGCCATGCTAGGTAATGTTACGTCATGACGTGCATGGCTGGCCCCAGCTAGACACTGCTATGCAATGCAATGCTATGGCATGCTGAACCATACTGTGATGTGCATTTGCACGGTTAGCTCTGTCGTGCTGTGCCGTGCCATGTCATGTCATGCAACGCTGCGATGCCACGTTTGGCTAGGCAGTCCTTTGCTATGCACAGGTGTGTTTTGGAGGCCTCTTGGGGGCCGTTTGGGATGCTCTTGGGGCCTCTTTTTGAGTGGGACCTCGTGGGCCCTCTAGGGGGCCTCTCGGGGGCCTCTAGGGGGCCTCTTGGGCTCTCTTGGGGGCGTCTTGGGGCCTCCTGGGGGCCTCTTGGGGCGGAAGGCTCGAATTGTCGGTTCGTGTTCTCCCTCGCGGGCCCCTCTCGGGGCCGTCTTGAGACCCTCTTGGGCGATTTTGGGCGCTTTTTGGGCCGTCTTGGGGCACTCTTGGGCCGTCGTGGGACTCTCTCGCGCCGTTGTGGCGCCCTCTTTGGGTGCCTCTTGGGCCGTCTTGAGCTGATTTCTGGGGCCTCGTGGGCTGTCTTGGGCCGTCAGAAGCACGAAACGTCGAGAACACGAAAGACCTTCAACAACCATCGAACAACCCTACTTTTTTCACCTCCTGAGCGCCTCGAGGGAGTCCTTTTGGGGGCATCCTAGCCGTCTTGAAGCCCTCTTGGGCTGTCTTCAAGCCATGTTGGACAAACTTTGAAACGCTCTTGTGCGGTCTTGGGCTCTCTTGGAGCGCTCTTGGGCCATCTTGGCGCCCTCCTGAACGTCTCTCGAGCCCCCTCGTCGCCCCACTTCCCCTCCTTTGACGCTCTCTGGCACCTCCGCCAGGTCCAAAACGGCCGGAAGACAAATCAGTGCACTCTGGAGCCCACGGGAACCCCTCTCCCTACATACATACATACCTACATACATACATACATACATGCATACACACATACATACATACATACATACATACATACATGCATGCATGCATGCATGCATACATACATACATATATACATACATACAAACAAGCATACATACAAACAAACATACAACAATACAACCATGCAAACATACAAGCATGCATGCATACAGACATGCATGCATGCATGCATGCATACATACATACATACATACACAACCATATATATACATACATACATACATACATACATACATACAT